GTTTTTTTTTTCCTTTTTCTTTTTTTTCATTGAGAATAAGAAAAAAAAGTTTCCGCCTCCTCCCAGCCTCCCATTTCCCTCCCCCCCCCCCCCCCCCCCCCCCCCCCCCCCCCCCCCCCCCCCCCCCCCCCCCCCCCCCCCCCCCCCCTCCTCCCCCCCTCCCCCCTCTCTTCTCCCCCTCCCCCCACTCCTCTCACCCCCCCTCTCCTATCCAAAGAGCAGTCATGGTTCCCTGCCCTGTCCCTTCTGTTGAATCAGAATCTTTCTGGAAAGATCTGGATTCAGTGAGTAGACGACAATATTTGATCACCTCAGTTTTAAAAAGAAAATTTGCACATGTAAGTTTTATTTCTTGTAAGATCATCAGGGCAACGAATGGATGGAAGCAAGGCCCATAAATTTAGGAGAGAACCAATTACTTTCAGACTTTGAAAGGCTGGGTACTTAATGTTTTATCCTCAGCACTTTGGGAATCTATATGTCCTTACATTTGCCACTGTTCACTTAGAGAGTGACTTCTCTAGTTAAGGATGAAAGTAGTTGTTGTCTGTGAGTATAAACACAGATGTTTAGAAGGCTATTTGATACTATGACAATTTAACAAGCAATAGTAATAGTTATCTCTTGTGCCTATGAGCTCTCTAGACATGAGTTGTTGACTGGACCTCTGACCAGGTGTAGATTTCATTTGTGAAGCAGGCTTCAGATCTAGTTAGGGTGTGGTTGGCTGGCTCCCGTGGTAGTCATGCCACTATGACACCAGTGGGCACCTCTTACCTTCCTAGCGTTCACAGCTGGGTAAAACCACCGGTGCCTTTTCTCCCACTGCTGCCTGCACTGCACCTATTGGCTTGCTTTCTCTGCATCTTGTACTGAAGCTTGTGGTGTCTTCAGCAATCAGGTCTTATTTGCTTACTAGTTATGAGGGGAAGACGGGGACTAAAGAGAGCCTGCATTGTTTGAAAGGCCTTTGGAGCTTCCTTGACTAATAAAACCTTTTCTAAAACTAAGCTTTTCTATATACATTGGTGTTTTGCCTGCAGATATGTAGGCAGGATCAGATCTCCAGAACAGGAGTTACAGACAGCTACGAGTTGTCATGTGGGTGCTGGGAATTGAACCTGGGTCCTCTTGAAGAGCAACCAGTGCTCTTAACTGAGCTGAGCCATCTCTCCAGCCCTGACTCTCATAGAAGTATCTGTACTGGGAATGTTGCTTAGAAATTCTCTGTTTCTATGAACAACATTGCTTTCAATTTCCCTTTTGTAGTTTTAAATATAAGATAGTAGGTTTCCATATGACCTTTTTGTACACTCTTTGTTTTGATTAATTCTTTCGCTACCCCTCCCCTCCTTAAATTCCTCTCCCTCTCTTACCTATGTTCTCCTCTATCATCTATTGTCTCTAGTTCCATCCGTTTTCCTGAAAATTTCATTTTTCTCCAAAGTTGAGTAAATTTCCATTGTGTGTATGCACCTCATATTTATTATCCATTCATCAGTTCAAGGACGTTTAAGCTGTTTCCATTTCCTAGTGTCCTTATTAGGATTCCATTGCTGTGATAAATACCATGACCCAAAACAACCTGGGGAGGAAAAGGTTTATTTCATCTTACAGCTACACTCTGTCATGAAGAAACCCTGGGCAGGAACTCAAGGAAGGAACCGTAGGCAAAAATTGAAACAAAAATTGTGGAGGTGCACTGACTACTGCCTTGCTTCCATGGTTTGCTCAGCTTGCTTTCTTATACATCCTGCCAGGGATGGCACCGCCCCCAGTGGCCTGGACCCACTCCCATCAATCATTAGTCATGAAAATGCCCTACAGACAGTCTGGTGAAGGCGTTTCCCAACTGTGGTTCCTTTTCCCAGATGACCAGCTTGTGCCCAGCTTCAAAACACCTAGCCAACACACTTCTTATGAAAAGAGCAGCGATGACTATGGATGTTCAATTATCTCTGCAATACACTACTGAATCCTTTGGGTATATGCCCAGGAGTGGTCTAACTGGGTCATATAGTACTGTAAATTCCATTTTTCTTTTTTAAAGTATAAGTCTCTTTATTTCTTCCCTGACCCAAGGGTGGTTCAGTAGTTGACTGTTCAGTTTCCATGAGTTTGTAGGCTTTCTGGGGGTAGAATTGTTGTTAAATTCTAACTTTATTCCATGGTGATCTGATAAGACACAAGTGGTTACTAATTTTTTTTATATCTCTGTGGATGTTTGCTTTGTTACCGAGTATGTGATCAATTTTTGAGAAAGTTCCATAAGATACTGAGAAGAAGGTATATTCTTTCTTATTTGGGTGGGATGTTCTACAGATGTCTGCTAGGTCGATTTGATTCATTACCTCCATTAGTTCTCTTATTTCTCTGTTAGGTTTCTGTCTGGTTGACCTGTCCATTGGTGAGAGAGGTATGTTGAAGTCTCCTACTATTAGTGTGTGGGGTTTGATGTGTGCTTTGAGTTCTAGTAATGTTTCTTTTACATATGTGGGTGCTTTTATATTAGGGGCATAGATATTTAGGATTGAGACTTCATCTTGATGAATTGTTCCTGTTATGAATATAAAGTGTCCCTCTCCATCTCTTCTGATTGATTTTGGTTTGAAGTCAATTTTGTTAGATATTAGTATAGCCATACCCGCTTGTTTCTTACGTCCATTTGATTGAAAAACCTTTTCCCAACCATTAACTCTGAGTAAATGTCTGTCTTTATGGTTGAGGTGTATTTCTTGTAAACAGCAGAATGTTGGATCCCGTTTTTGCATCCATTCTCTTAACTTGTGCCTTTTTATAGGTGAATTGAGACCATTGATATTAAGTGATATTAATGACCAGTGGTTGTTAACTCCATTTTTTTTGTGATAGAGTTTGTGTGTTTCCCTTCTCTGGGTTGTGCTTGTGGAGGGTTGTTAGATGTCTAAGTTATTGTGAGTGTTGTTGGGTTCCTTTGGTTGTGATTTTCCTTCTATTACTTTCTGTAAGGCTGGGTTTGTGGCTACGTATTGTTTAAATTTGTTTTTATCCTGAAATATCTTGTTTTCTTCATTGATGGTGAAAGAAAGCTTGGCTGGGTATAGTAGTCTGAGCTTGCATCCATGGTCTCTTAGTTTCTTCAGCACATCTATCCAAGACCGTCTGGCTTTTATGGTTTCTATAGAGAACTCAGGTGTAATTCTGATAGGTTTACCTTTATATGCTACTTGACGTTTTTCCTTTGCAGCTCTTAATATTCTTTCTTTATTTGTGTGTTTTGTGTTTTGATTATTATATGGCAAGGGGATTTTTTTTGATCCAGTCTATTTGGTGTTCTGTATGCTTCTTGTACCTTCATAGGAATATTCTTCTTTAGGTTGGGAAAGTTTTCTTCTATAGTTTTGTCGAATATATTTTCTGGGTCTTTGAGCTGTAATTCTTCTCCTTCTTCTACCCACTCTTGGTTCTCACTGAATTATTGGTAACAGCCATCATATAGAACCAGCCTAGATGACCATCAGTGTGGACAATGAAACTGTGGTGTGCATAATCAATGAATTTGTATTCAGTCCTGACAAAAATCAAGTCATATGCAGTTGAATATATGAACCCAACCATAACATGAAGCTAGACTCATCAAACACAGAAGGAAAAATCTTGCACATTTTTAAAAACCATTTATGGAGTTTAGATTGAAATACCTGTGAATGTGTAGAAATGTGTAATATGCATCATACTTTTCTAAATTGATATCTTCTATCAGTTCAATGGTGCTTTCTATAACATATAATTAATTTTATTGAAATTATGTTCAGCTGCAGTTTCATTTGTATGTTCTAGGAGGACTATTCTCTTTTATAAATTGCTCAAATATTAAATGACAAGTTCTCACAATATTCACAGTGTGAACAATATTACTCTTTATGGCATATAACTCTAAATGATAGTGGAAGGGTAATTCAACTTTCTATTTAAATAATGAATTTCATTGTGTTTAAATTATGTATAACACTGTGATTTAAATGATGTAGGACATTTTTATATTATTACACATGTGTACCTAAACTTAAAAAAGAAGGTTGAAGGACGAAAGACTGCATCTGGGTGCCGCTTGATGTTGAAGTGACCCTGGGAAAATGACAACAAAGCCTGTTTCCTACTAAGGACAGGGCAGAGTCAGAAACAACTGTCTTAGTGCAACTTCAGTGACTTGATTTGAAAACAAATCACAGAAGATGGAGCAGGCACAGGCAAAGATTGCCAAACCATCCACTCTTGAGTGCTGACCTCCTCGATGTCAAGATTTACACAGCCACCAGCAGAAGGGAAGGAGGGAGACCATTGTGGTGGGCAGCTGTGCGGAAGTTCCCACACTGTAACAACTCAGCTACAGCAGCAAAATAAAGGGATGGAAACAATGAGAATTTCTGTAGGTCTTCTTCAAAACTTTGTTTATAACAGAGGAAGAAAAACACGGTTGTGAAGAGGAAAGACTGGCCGATGGATGTGCCCTTTGTCCTCAATTAATCTGAGCATTGATTTTTGTCCTTCAAGTAAGTGTCTAACAGTGAACATTGATCTTCAAGTCCATTGACAATGAGTTTTTCTCAGGTTTTAAAACTGTGAGAAGTAACTGCCATTTCTAAGTCCTCAAATCAGATTACAAATAAAAACACCATTGTAGTTCTTACAGATACAGTAGAAGAGTTGTTACAAAGTTATAGGACACACACACATAATTAAAGAGGTCAGAGGGCAACTCTCTGAGAGTAGAAAAGATGACTAAGGGATGGGATGAGGACGATGCTGAGAAATGAACAAGAGTCTTGTCAGGACTAGTTGCCAAGGCTTTTTTATTTGTAACGAGGAGACAAAGGGGCACTGTTATCTGGTGAGTGGAATGAAGAACCTTTCACAGATGTCAGCATCTCAGAGCAAAGTCCAAAGAACGAAGCAGGAGAGGGCAGCAAGCCTGGACCAGTCTGCCTCCTGCAACACTTGGTGAAGTCTTCCTCATCAGCTTAGCAACAGCCACCAGACTGCTGGCTACTGCCACAGCTGCCACCACCGCTGCTGCCACAGCAGCCACTGCTGCCACTGCTGCTGCCACAGCAGCCACTGCTGCCCCCACTGCTACAGCATCCAGAGCTCTGGTGTCTGCGATGGAGAGATCTGCGGGGCCTGTGGTGGCTCAGGCAGCAGCCACCACTGCCAGAGCTGCAGCAGCCCCCGGAGCTTGAACCACAGCAGCCCCCGGAACTGGAACCACAGCAGCCCCCGGAACCCAAACTGCAGCAGGAAGAGACAGGAGGACACTTAGGGGGACATTTAGGAGGACATTTTGGTGTCTGGCACTTGGGAGGGCACTTGGGGGCACACTTGGGAGGGGGCTGGCACTGCTGCTGGCTCTGCTGGCAGGACATCTCCGTCTAGGGTTTCAGGAGCTGCAAGAGAACCACACACATGTCAGACACCAGACACTGAAACATTCTTGCTACCTGAATTTTACCTATAAGCCCCAAAGCAACCATTCATAGTCCTTTCTTTTATAACATACAATGTCACAATATGTTCATCATGAATTCAAAAACCTCAGAAACCCATGCAAGAAAATACTCATTGTCACCCAGTATCCAGAAGCTCTGAATGATTATCTAGTGACAACTGAAAATGTGTATTAGTCTTAGTCCTCACACGAGTGCCGGTATACAGATTATTTCAAAGAAAAGTAATTGAAAAGCAAAGAGAGTAATCACTACTTGAAGGTGATTTTAGTTTAAAGTCAGCATTTGAGACCTTTTATATTACTGATACTCCCAGTCCTAAAAAAATATATGCAAACCCACTCAAATCTGCCTTGGGACTATGAAACCCTGTAGTGAGTACAGAGTTCAGAGGTGTACAAATCACCACCTCCACAGCTCAAGGTCGACAAAGTCAGTGTCTTCCAGGTAGTGTCTTCTTGATCAGAGAAGGGTGTGAACAGATCCCAGAACCATGGCTCTATTTCTTTCCCAAGCCTAAGTGAGACTCTGTTGACCTTTCCTGAACCAGCTCTTCTCAGGAGTTAGTGGAAGCTTTTTCTTTACAGGCTAACTCTCCCCTGAGCCTGTCCAGATGCTCAGGTCTCTGCACTCAGTGTCCCATCCCGAGTGGTCCTAACAGTGAAGGTACATCATCCTCTCCAGAATCAGAATTATCCAACAATTGCAGTCTTTCAGAGCAGTAGCTTGTGTGTATTCATGTCCCTATTTCCTCGCCCCTCACTCTTCACTATGTTTTATGATCTATCAATGTCCTCTAGGTGGGGAGACCCCTCCTAGACTCCTGTCCAACTCTAGTCTGGCAACCCCTCTGGAAAAGTCTCTGCTTTTGCCTCCCATGGATACTTACCAAGTTGAGAGGCAGCTCACGATCTGTGGATATCTCAGGAGGTGAATGATGGAAGTGCCCTATCCCTCAGCCCTTTTAGTCTGATCCTGGCCTCTGTCTCAGCCTGTCAGAGAGTGTGTGAATAGGGGTGGCTCTGCCTCGTGACATCCACATTGTTATGTGACTGGTGATGACCAGATGATCCCAACAGCCTTGGGGCCAAGGAATGCTGTCTTAGGACATGGTTTAGGCATGAAGGGAGGAAGTAGATTCCTGGATCCTTAAACCTGGCATACCCACAGAGTACCTGCATTGGGAACCAGTCATACCTCTGGCTTCCTCCTTTTCTCCTGGCTCTTCGTGTGATATCTGCAGCTAATATCCTAATTGACATAATAAAACCTTGAATTTCAGCTTCCATTCATGTAGTTCCCAACTGTTCCTGTATGGGTACAATTTGGATGCCAACATTATTAAAAGGTGCATAATGCATCTGGTTCAGTATCAAGTTATGCTGAGATGTGGTTCTGAAAGTCTACTTTTCCTGCTTCATTTTCCATTGAACTATTACAGTGGAATGTTAAGAAGAATATTTATAGAATATTATAAAAATGAATGAAATATTGGAGCAGTAAAAACGTGGCTCACTGAAATAGAGCATCATGGTACATAGCTTACAGCAGACATATGTTCAAATTGCTAAATACAGGGTGAGTATACTGCTCTAGAGACAGAAATGGAGAGATGCTCCTCAGTGAAGAATGCACACTGCTCTTGTAGAGGATCCGAGTTTGGTTCCCAACATCTACTCTGGACATCTCACAGCCCCTGGAACTCTATCTTGAGGGCCTCTAACACCTTCTTCTTACCTCCAAGGTACAAACACAGACGCGCTCACGTGCGCACACACACACACACACAAACACACACACATGTACATCCTTAAAAATAAAAATGTAATCTTTTAAAACAAAGTATATAGGGATGTAAAATTAATGATATGTATAAAAATTTCCCAAGTAAATCCAAGACTTGAAATATATTATTCATTAATTATAAAAATGCAATTGTTGTGACCAGAGAAAGTGGGTGTCCTCACTTGGTCTGTTTTTTAATTGGTTTGGCATATAACTTTATATTGGATAGTTCTTGAATTTACAAGTAATCCTGCTTTAGGAATGTGCTATTCTTGTCTTTACCATTTCACAGTTTCTGGAAACTCTTTAGCAGCCAGCATATCCCTCTCTAGGAACCAGTGTGCTGTTACTAGAGAGGTCAGATGGCTTGTTAGTAAGAAGAAAATCAGGAAAACGGTTCACATGACGTAGAGGGAATCATGTTCTTCACCTATTAGAAATAGAAAAATAGAATTAGTCTACACCTTCGTGTCAGATAAAGCAATAGCAGGCTATGCCCCTGACTGAAAGAAGGTAGGTTATTTTAAATAAAATCATTGATTAGTAGTTCACAAAAATGTGTTTCTGTGGTCATTAGCACTCTGTCTTCTCTGTGTGCCTCTGATTTTCATTCATATTCTACATGTCTATAGACTATATAGGAACAATTATTTTGAATATTTTTATTTTCAGTATTTAATACAAATAGTTGTTATTCATTATGTAATAATATGTTTCTAGAGAATCATTGAGATTAAGCAAATTCAAAGAGATAAAAGCGTCAATACGAAGAAAATACAGACTAAATTGGCAAAATCTCTTCTCCTTAAATGCTGGTGGGCTCTGGAAGTCTCAGTCCTTGGAAATAAAATGCACCTGAGACACATGAGCAAGTTGAGCACAAATAAAATACAATAGAGAAATATGAGTATTTATTAATGTATAGTTTCATATAGAGAGATGTGTGCTTCTCTACCTCATATCATCTAATTATGTGTATCTAAATTCTGCCTGCATGTTTGAATATCATATTCTCTTTCAAATACATCTAGTATTTATAAATTCTCAAAGTTCTAACTCAAAATACAGCCCCTAGAGCCCCTTGATCTTCCATTTGCTATGTTGCAGCATCAGAAGCATAGAAGACCCTAACCCTCCCAATGATAACTACCACAGAGTCGGCAGCTAAGACTTGTTCAGGACTGTATACCAGTGAACACAAGGAGAAACTTATGATGTGGAGCCCTTAGTGTTACTTTATTGGAAGCTTTCCCCAGCTGCTTTCAAATTTGTTCTTAGGTGAATGATGTCAATTTCTGTTCTTTGATTATGATTTTCTCTAAATTATATGCCACAAACTTTAACTGCTATGATAATGCAGCTCAGTTACACATTTTTATTTTTTTATCCATGATGTTTAATGTAGTCATGATGAAATCCTTAACAACCTTTCTTAGAGTTTTTGTTTTTATCTGCGGTATTTTAACACATTCATCCTGTAGCTACTTGGTGATGTTTAATCCTCTCCCTCACATCTTCATTGATTATGTAAGTTAAGAAACAGATACTTCTAAACTTGGTTCATCCCATTGGAACCTGAAGTCTGAGGCAGAATTGAGGTCTGAGTGTCCACATGACCTTGAGAAACCTTTCCCCGTCTCACATGATTTTATTTTAGTCTCTTCAGTTGTTCCAGGAGGCTTAGCAATTGGGAGAGGTCAGGACAAGATACCTGATTTCCCAATGGTTTCCACATAGCTCACCTTAGGATTCAAGGGTTATGTGGCTGAGACGCCAGCTAGTCCACACTTCTGCCTCTGTGTGGGACAATACCCAGGTCGTCTACTCACCTCCTGTGCATAGTTTTGTGTGTGTGTGTGTGTGTGTGTGTGTGTGTGTGTGAGTATAATGCTAGCTGGAACAGTAACATAAGCCTTGAATGTGACCTCTGGAGACTGACTCAACCATCTCGAGACAATGTGCATATCATGACTAGCAAACTGTTGGCATTTTGAGGGCTAAGAATCCTAGATGGTTTTGCTTTTTAATGGCACTTTCCCCATCTTCTGGAATATAAGAAATCATTAAGAGCTCTAAAGGAATCCAAATGAAAATGGTCTTTTTTTTGCACTTGAGAGGTAGAATTGAAAAAATACAACATTGTTTTAGAGGCATGTGTTGCAAGGAGGGGTCTGCTTGTTTGTCTTGGCTGCCCGGCCAGCTTCCACCTGAAATAACCACACAGACACTGTATTAATTAAAACACGGCTTGACCCATTAGCTCTAACTTCTTATTGGCTAACTCTGACATCTTAGTTTAACCCATTTCTATTAATCTGTTTATCACCATGTGGCACTGGCTTACTGGGAAAGATTTGGCATGTCTGTCTCTGGCAGAACCATGGTGTCTCTTTCCTATTCTGCCTTTCTTCCTCCCAGCATTCAGTTCTGTCTTCCCTACCAACCTAAGTTATGAGCTATCAACTAGGCCAAGGCAGTTTCTTTATTCATTAAACAATGAAAACAACACATTAATAGAAGGACATCCTACACCATTTTCCCTTTTCTGTTTAAATGAAAAGGAAGGCTTTAACATAGTAAAATTACACATAACAAAACAGTTATCCACCAAAAATTGAAGTTACAATACTTATATCTACTTTATCTTAACTAAGCAAAACTATAACTATAACTATAAATTCTTCAGCTCCATCAAAGACTGCAGAAGGATATAATATTACCTTAGTAAACAGAAAGTGCATTATACACAACTTCTAAAACTCTAGAATTGATAGAGACATCTGGCTGCCTGGACAGACAAGAAAAGTTCTTCTGTATCGTTGGGGCATCCATCTTCAACTTACAGGCCCATAGTAGTGTCTATGTTCCTTTTGTCTTGACCCTGTGCAAGCCTTGTGTCTACTACCACTGTGTTTCTGAATTCATATGAGCTTCAGTGCTGTTGAGTCTAGAGTGGATTGTTTCTTTTGCATCTTCTGTCCCCACTGGCTCATGGACTCTTTCCATGTCCTCTTCAGCATAGCTCCCTGAACCCTGGAGGGAGGGGTTTGATAAAGGCATCTCATTGAGGACTCTCAGTGACTTGTCCAGTATGGGTCTCTGCATGATGAACTTTCTCCAATGCTGGGTAACTG